TCGGGAACCGTAATCCGTGACATTGATTTCCCTATTGATCACTTTCATAGGAAATCTGGACTGTGTGTATAAACTAACCACGTTCTTCAAACTATAGGGGCTAACCTGTGACAGACGGGTAATACAGCCAATTAATTACGGTATTTTCCGTAATACAACACACACAGTACAATACAACATAACAATACGAGGGCTTGGATCCATAAGAATTCTTGTCTCACCTCAGTAACTTTTCGGTCCACATCTGACTTCTGTTTGGCATCAAACTCTTCAATTTCCGAATCCAAGGAGGGATACGGGTTTGATTCAATCTTTTCTGTCATTAGCTAGTCGAGAAAAGACAAGATGGAATGAATACCTGGAAAATGAGAAATGTAAGCGCATATTACTTCAACAACTTACCTAACAAGTAATCGCTCAAATTTACAGTGTATTTTGCGAGATAGTGGAGCGCTTGAAGCCCATTCCATTTAATGTGATTTTACACTAATACTCTTCTTTTATCATGATCGAGTCAAAAATACTGCAAATTGCCTGTTGTACACTTTTGTTCGGTCTTTGATAGTCTATCGCCAAGATGAAAAATGGCCAGACTCCGGGACGATGCTGCACATGCGTTTTTGTTTCGAAGAAAAGCTGTACCTGATACGAAACATCTGGCATCTCTGAGTCACACATAAATAACGCTAGACGGGTATCTTCCGGAATATTTGAATTTAAGATGGTCGAACCTCTCAAATATTAACAACCCGGCTCAAAAACTACGCAAATCAAATCGCAACGGATAAAGAGCAAGGTGCCCGGAAAGTACAATCACGGAAATAAGTCCCATCCGTCGCCATCCCTGTGAGACTAGGCAAATCTGTTTGAAACCACACTAGGTGAGTTAGGAAAGGTTTTAGTCCTTCTCAGTTTTGAGTGGTAACTTAGAATCCTCGAAAATCGAACCCAGCTAGAAAACTTTTCGAAAAAAAAAATCAAAAAAATCAAAGTGTGGAAACAGGTCAAGATATCATAATCTGATCAAAACGCCATAGTTACTCAGCTTCTATCAAGCTGCACAGGTGTGTGATAAGGTGGGTAGGTAGAAGAGGATGGACTGACCAACATTCGATTTTTATTCCGCAGTCCTCTATAGTACAATTTTTATTCCGCAATCCTTTATAGTACAGAAATCAACAGAGTTCGGGCATACATTGGGTCTCTGTATTCCACGGGACTAGGTTTTGGAACATTTTGTGTTGTTGAAAAAATTTTTCAGCTCAGGGACTATTATGGAAGCTACTATCCTGGGTTTTATGCTAATTCTAATTACTTTATGCACAATCTCTTTTTCGTAACCGTGGACAAAAGCAGTGATTGAAGTAAGATACTATGGGGTTGGCAATAAAACTCTGCGACAGAAAATTCGAAGCGCTAAAAATTTATATAAACAATATGAACACGGTAGCAAAGGTGGTAAACTTCTAGGAAATATCCTTGGCAATGTAAACATGAGTAAACAAGGGCACGCACATAGGCTTTTGCAGCATTGACGCCAACGAATGAACAACTCTAGTTCGTACCATCACCTACTAGGCATTCCATGGGAAAAACGCGAGTGTAGCAGCTTAATTTATCAGAAACCTATTGGATGCTGTCACTGATCACCGATCAACGGTCAACAATCGGTTGGATCGCTTCAGTGCAGGAGATGCTGGCCTTCAAGGTAACGCGGGCACCCTCCCTGGTGCTCCTTCCCTCCCAGGGCTTAAATTTTGCAGCTGAAAAAACAAAACATCTAATCCAGTTCAACGGAAGTTATCAGCTTCATCAGTATCAGTTAGCACACAAGAAAAGAAGAAAATTAAGAACCAGTCAGAAAATGCAATCAATCTAACGTAATAAATCAAATTTAATAATATTACGCGAGCAGAAGCATTCCAGGAATGCTTACCCCCTCTCACATGTGAGTATATGAAAATATAACTGTATAGTGAGAAATTTGCTTAAAGCCTCAAAAAACATTGAAATGTGGGTAACTGATGACAGAAGAATAAAATAAGAGATTCATGGTATGAATGATCGCAGTCAAGCAGTAAGTTGATATAGTGACATACAGAGTATAAAAGCAGTCACAAAGAATGGAAGAAAATCTGGGAAAATGAAATATTCAGATGAAAAATATCAAATGCAGAAGTGCCTGTCAACTGTTGATGTCCGCCTTGGCGACGCCTGCAGCCGCATGTGCCACATTGATTGGTAGATCAAGATCATGTTCATCGCCCATGTCATCCAATCCCCTCAACCCAAATGCAAGCATTCAATCGATATTGATGATTTCTTCATATTCCTAACAATCTGACTTCGCTGATCGCTTGAGAATCTTATGGTACTCGTACAGTACGTCGGAGAGCTGTCATCAATCGGAATCTGTAGCTCCCAGAAGAGTAGCTCCTTCCTACGATCGATTTTTGCTAAACACTTCTCGGTAAACATTTGTCAACAACTTGTCATCAAGAACGGCAAAAAAGAGCGAAACGTAAGTTTTTGCAATTGGTCTGTGATGTATGGGATGTGGCGCAGAACCACGAGGCGCTATCGTCACCTGCACAGACGGAGTTCCATCCAGGCTCTATGAATTGATTCCAAACGATCTTATGCTGCCAAGATGTGGATTCCCGGACTTCTGCCTACTACCCTGACCGGACAATGGAATGATCAACTGGTTGAACTTACCATTTCCCCCCTTTCTGGCCGAAAAACCCTAATGGGAATTTGAATTGAAGAACCATGATAAACTATTATACTACTCCTATATACGAAGACTGCGGCTACAGCCATTCATCCACTACTTTTCAAGATTCGTATAATTGGAAGTACTTCATGAGAGTTGGCAGTATGATCAATGCGATCACAAGGCAAGTCTTGCAAGCTGCTGGATCGAGCCCGTTGAAGTGAACGTAGCAAATGAATGCAGGTGCACGGCGCATTCTAAAACATACAACGTGCTTCCGGACAAGTCACCCTCTTGCACCCATAACTCTTTACTTTTTACAAACTTTTTGTTCTATTTGTCGTGCCTGCCAGTACAACGTGACAAAGTGCTGTGATGGCGTAGTAAATCCGTAACGTGAAAAGAAAAACGTGCTTAACGGCTGAACTAACGTAGAATAAAAAGTCGGAAAATGAGCTTTCTGAAATACGGAATGTGCCATATGTTTGTTACATCTGACCGACACTGTTTGAAAGGACTAAATAATTGTTCAGTGAACTCCGTAGCTCAAGATGTCTCTGGTAATCATAGGCACTGCCTTGGTAGTTCCGTGGGGATTTGCCATTGAGTGCATATTCGATCTGAACCAATACGAAAAAAAGAAAAATGATAGACGGTTGGGAAAAGCCAATCGGATCAATCACAACGTTCGGAACGTCGCGCGCGAAAGTTCCGCACACACCTCGAGTCTGCCGCGCTCGGGACTGTACGATCGCCGCGCAATGTTTGGGTTTATTCCAATGCACTAGTTCATGGATGGGGCGATCGACTTACAAAGATGCGCCATGCACCGATCAAGCTTCTGAAATGCTCAAACATGTATATCGTACCTAGCTATCGCATTCCTTGTAACTCTTATTCGTCTCTTCTTTTATAAGGCAGCCTTACGGTGATTAAGGTACAATCGAGATGTTTATTCCATTTATCTCTCAAGAATACACTAGATCAAAACAGTCATACCATTTCTTTGCTGAATCAACAATCTCAATCTTCCTATGAAAAGTATTGCTTCAGCTCGTAAGAAATATTCTGCTTTTGTCTGCTTCTGAAGGTCGGTAAAAATTCTGTTGTGCGGAAGAGCACCCTTCTCCTCTAACACTAGGCGCTAGAGCGCAAAGAAGGAGGCATAGCCGACTCTGCGTGCTTGTAATGATGCTCTCTGTACAGAACTAGTATACGAGCATGGAAAAGCTTACATTTTTGGGAAGAAAAAAAATCTGGTCAACTTAACTTAAAGTCTTCCATCCCACCTTTTTGCACAAGGTGATCACTCCCCCATCCATGTGCTCCCACACTGCTGACGCTTAGTTGAAAAAATATTCCCCAGCTAAAAAATGTTTTCAAGCACCATTACGGGCTTGCAGAGTCGTCTCTCTTTCTTCTCTGCTCTCTAGCGCCCGGCGTTAGGGAAGGAGTGCCCACCCCTCTGCTCCCAAGTACATCTTCACACAGAAGTCCGCCAGTTTCCAGTGAAAGAACTTTGCTCTCTTTCATTTCAATAGAGAAAAAGCTCCAGCTTACCATTGCAAACGCTTCACACAAGTTCCAAGCGACTACTACTCCACAAAAACTTTGACGGCTTTGCAAGAACTGTTACATCCGCGGACATGATATGCAGCATCAGGAGAAGCTACTTTCTTCATCTGTTCTGACGGCATTAATTCTGAACCATCAATCACCAGAGCTCTGCAACACACCCAGCCCATTCTTTTAGCGAGTGGCCACTACAAGAGATTGTATCAACTCGATATATCGAATTAAGTAGTCGGTAATACTTATAGGCATAACTTTATAAGCATTCCAGCAATTATAATACACAACAGAGTCAATGAAGAAGTGAATGTACAGAAGTGAAGGTAAGTAACAGCGATACGGCTAAAAGGACAATATTATACCAGCTCCTACAAGTCAGTACTCGAATGTAAGAGGGTTGAGAGACTGAATTAAAGACGAGTAGAGAGCACTATTACGTAGTATAGAACTGAAAGAAAAAATGAGAACGTTCTAGTGTAGAAAAAAAACTCTCAAGAGTTAAAAGAAATTGATTCATAATGTTCATTACAGACTTCGCAAGTGCGACGCGATTAACGGAGATTGCGCTGCTGAGTTATTGATTAGATGAAATGATATTGATCGGTCTCGACGCACGCCTTGTCGCGCTTTACCAGCTGTAGCTTGAGTTGCAAGCAAAGAACGCTGTTCTTGAAATTTGCTTAACTATTATATGAGAGGAGCCGTAACCTTACTATCTAGATGCTCCGGATTCAGCCCGTTCACGAATAGTATACAAAGCATGTTCGTCCGCATGTGTATGCTTCATCGTAAGGCCTTCGTCTGTGAGTGATCCTGAAATAAACCATAGACATCTTCAAAGGGCACGCCATTATGAGTGAATTTTGATGTATGTACAATAGCGATAAAGCAAAAGTTACTAGCAAGGGATCACGGTTGTCAGTCCTCAGGCTGTAACGAAGTGCTCGTAAAGGTTTCTCGTTACCACTCTAGGGTTGTGGCCGGAGGCGCGAATTTTCCGCTCGAGCAAAGCGACATATTTGCGCGGCAAAGCGAGTGGTTGCGTAGGGACGCCGACGTCCAACATCAATTTACCGTGTAAACCTTTAAGCGCAATTTGATCCCCTGTACTCGCAAGTTTTCGGCTGCAAATGAGCAGGGCAGGACAGATTCTTCTCAACGAGCTCGATTAACGTCTGGCGCTTTCCACTGGCATTCTCGATAGGCAAGTCAAAGAAGTTTGTTGTAGTTCGGTTACCTGACGGTTCTCGTAAACCGGCTTCAACAGCATGGACTCCAAGGGATCCCATCGAGGCCATGATCAGCCCTTGCTGTGTGGATCTTTTCTGAGGACGTTTGCCAAACAAGAAACGCTTTGACTTCCTGAAATAGGTACATTTTCATAACTATGTCCTTCTTGAGATAGCAACGAACTGACGACTTGCTATCCTGCATTCCTTGTGCTCGGTACTGCAGCATTTTCATGTGATTGATCTCAGAGCAACGACGCATTTCTTTTTCTTCTTCGAACACGAGGTTACGATTAGCATAATACTGGAAATAAGAAAGTTCGAATTCTAATAGCTACTCATCCTAAGCGAGCAGGAAGATACCACAACCAGATCGGATCGTGTTCCCGTCCTTTCACTTCCTGGCCATCAGTTGTAAGAGGTCGGAAGAGTTATCGGAATGTGAGAAAACAGAGAGAAGAAGATTCAGATGAACCCCTCTTTATTTCTTTGTCACGGATTCGTGGTGAGGAGATTGTAATTTGGATAAGGCTTACGGGGTGAGAGGGCAGAGAGCATATCAGGTTAGCTGACTCATCTCACGCTTCAACTTAAGGCTCGCGGACGGCAACATTTAGGAAGGAAGCTCGATAGCCGCACACGAGAGGATTACGCCTGTCACCTCCATGGACTCTAGGCCTTCATCGGTAGTCACCTCTGGGCTCACCACCTTCCAGATAAGGACACCGACTGGACTGATATTCACACACAACCATGTTAATAAACTGCTTATTTATTCTCGACTTAACCGCGCACATTCTGCTGAGCGGTACGACCGCACTATCACTGGTAGCAGCGAGCTCGACTCCGAGGAAAACAAGTCAGTTACCTTTGTTTTTCTCAAGTCTGTTCAACCTTTTGCTTCCGGCTCTGTTGAGCCTGTACGTAAGATTGAGTCCACCTGTTTTCGTTTCTACAGCTCGACAATCATTGGCAGGCTAACCATGATGAGTTCTTTATTAACTTGTTCTCTCTTGTGAGCTCCTTCCTCCATTCTTTCTCTTTTCTGATCCGTCAAAAGCTATTTTGACTGAAAATCCCTTGAGCGACTTCTGAGGGCAGCTCACATAGGTAGGTCAAACTTTCTGATGAGTTGTCCCTTCTTCTTTGTCACATGCACACACGCTTTTTGCACTAATCTTATATTTATCACATAAATTAGCATTTTTCATGTGTTCTGCCTTCCAAAGTCGTTTGAATGTTCTCCCAGCACTTTTTGCCGTGGCACGAGTCATGCGTTTCGGGTTCATAGGCGGTCCCTCTTTGATGATACATCTCCCTTCTGAGGCTTGTTTTGGTTAATTTCGAAGCATCTTTGTTCCCTTACCAGCCAGTGCCTCTCTTCGTTACAGTTTCTTCCCAAGCTCTCTTTCATAACATAGCACATACTGGAATGTCGAGAATGACTCACAGTAGCGGATGAAAACACTCGGTTGTTTTCAATTCTTCACGGCATGGTTAAGACCTGATCATGGGAACCTCGGCGACTCTCAAATCTATGAGTCATGCCCTTTGACCTATCCCCCTCTGTCATTCCCCGCCCCATTCTCTCCCCATATAAGGGTCATCGTGTGAGACAAACCATTTCTGTCGTTACTGTGCTCATGTCGCAGTAGCTTTCGTCCTTCTCTTCGATACGACTATTCGTAGCCAGTCTTCATTGGCACCTGTCTCCTCGTCGGATTCTGGTTCATCGTCTCCGTCACCTCCAGCAAAGACGGGAACCGGGGCTGTTGCCCCTAATCGACAGCTTGTGACATCTCCGGATGTTGGACCGGTGCGCCGGTATCCGCTGCTAATCCTTTCAGATCGGCTGGGCTTACAGCTACGTTGGATGAGTTCCTCTCCAGGCTCGACGATTCCGCCGTGTTGCACGTGGCTGACGCGAAGCGGCTCCGTGACGCGACTTCTCCTGCGATTACCAGGGTATGGAAAGAGGTCACGTCGCAGACATCTGCCCTAGCACAGAAGATAAATTAAGGTAACACTTCCTTATCGCGGAAACACAATGATAATCTCGCAGTTGTCTCGATAATCTTCCTACGACCGCTATGCTCGAATTGGATCCCCAGACTCCTACGATTACTTCATTTTCAGGGTCCACTGAGGAAGGCGCACAGTTTCAGTATGGCTTCGCCGCCGGAAAGTACACAGCTACTGAGAACACAGCGCCTCCTACCCTTTAAGGTTCTATGCCCGGCGCACTTCTTCCGGGAGTCCGCTCTCAGTTCCCGTTTTGTACCAGGTTGTCAACAAGGGTTTCGGCCAAGGCGTCATTCTCGAGGAGAAAGACTTTTTCATCCCTGGCCCAGGCCGACGTGAACTCCATCTGATCGTTCTGGACCAAACGAAACGAACGTTGCCAGCAACACCCGAGGATTCGATCCTTCGGTCCTCTCAGTGAAGGATCTCCCTTCGCAACCCGGACAAGGCGCTCAAGCAAGCCCGTATCCCAAAAGCAAACGCTCTCGATGGACGATTTCCACATTTCTTCCAGGTAAGAATTCACGTTTGCTCCTCCTCGATTGATCACCCGACGAACGCTCGGCATCATCCTCTCCGTGGTAAGCCGATACGACGGCGTGAAAGGGTTGCGCATCGCTTCGAAGAAGCTCCAGAGGCTGTACGGGTTTCTCCGTCGGCGTGCGACTACCCGTTGAGCGAAACTGAACACGACGAGGTCGTTTCGGCGAACATTAGGACGAACTCAACTTGCGCTATCCGTTTTTCGGAATTCCCAGCTTCTAAAGGAGCGCAGATGAGGCTTTGCTTACTAGTGCATGACTTCCTACTAGCTCACTCCGTGGAAGGTATGCTCCCTCTACGAGTACTCAAACTCTCCGATAGCGAGAAGCATTGGATCGCACACAGAGCGGCCTCGTTCACCAACTACCCGCGCAATGCAGCGGAATCTCGATGACGCATGGCGCAGCTCTTCAACGCTGCTTGCTCTGCAATGGTCGCAGTCAACGCCTTAAATGACGACAAGACGACCCACAGGCTGACCGCCACCATTCCAAGCTTGGCAGCTTTATCACCGACCTATGGATCGTGGGGTCTTAAACGCTTATCCGTACGACCATCGAGCAATCGGAGCACTCTTATGAGACCGGCTCAATAGCAGTGCGTCTCGTCGTTCCAGCTTGGGGCTACAACTACGCTGTTCGCACCGCATCCAGATTTGCCATCACCCGCGACGACGCTATTGCTGTGGACGTATGTGTGAAGTTGGAGTCTCTGCCTTCAGGAGCCAAGCCGCTGTACGAACTAATCTCACAGCATCAGTTGTTCGGACGTTTCGACGACGACTCTCTAGCTGCAATCATTCTCGACACCGTCTACGGAACGCGAGTCACTCCACTCGGGTCTGCTGGCCCTCAACCAAAGCATGTTTACGTTTCGGTCCACGGCCGTTCCTTCCCACTGCGTTCTGACCAGATCGCGGCGCTACAGATGGATGATCGACACCTACTCATCCTTGCGATCCAGGCTGCTTTTGGTACTGGTAAAACCTTGATTGCAGCTCTCATCGCGATACGCACACACCTCGTAACCGCTGAACACCAACAAGTCATCGCCACCACCATGACCAACACTGCAGCAGCCCAGTTTACGGACACAGCCTAATCCATCAACGCCGCGAACACCGTAAATATCCTTCGTTACGTTTCCGATTCGGTGCTTGTGGAAGGTGCTCCCCAGGCGCCCGTAGATCTCCACGTCATTCTCAAGCGCCTCGCCGACGACTGCGGAGATCGGCTT